GTGGCCGGTTTGCAGGGAATGCCGTATGAGGCGAGACTGAGGGAACTGGGTCTCTTCAGCCTGGAGAAGAGGAGAGTCAGAGGGGATATGTTGGCGACATACAGATATGTGAGGGGATGTCACATGGAGATGGGTAGAGACCTGTTCTCCCCTGCAGAGGAAGGCAGGATGCACTCCGATGGAGTAAAGCTCAGGGAGCCAAGGTTCCATTTGGATGCCAGGAAGCACTTCCTGACAGTCAGGACCCCAAGGGTGTGGAATGGGCTTCCACGAGAGGTTGTTGAGGCCCCATTGGTGCGGGTGTTCAAGGATAGGCTGGACGTCCACATGGTGGGCATGTTGTGAGCGGAGCCGGCTGGTGCCGGAGGTCAGACTATATGGCCCGAGAGGCCCCTTCTGACTCGCTCTGTTTCTATGTTTCTATGTTTTTATTTAAACGATATTTTAACTGTTAATTGTCATTATCATTTATTTATTATACACCTGCCAAGATGTATCCAGGTTTTTAAATTTTATTCAATATTTGTTTATTTGCTTTGTAAGCCGTCCCGAGGCTTGTTGCAAAGGGGCAGCATAAAAATGCTTTAAATAAAATAAATAAATAAAAATAAACGCAACTGCAGCCACTCCCACCACTAATATTAGATTTAGGCCAGATGGCTGGGACTGAGAGAATTGAAACTTGCCTACCTACTAGGGTTGTTGCTCAGGTGAAATTTGAATCATTCATTGCATTGCAATGCAGACTCTTAACCACTGCAGTATTTATCTATACCACCTTGTTCAAATTCAAAATTCAATCAAATCCAAATGTTTCAAATTCATTTTAACATTTTAACCAATCAGTTAAATGGCTGGGAATTTAGGTAGCTTTTGAATTGGGAAAATGAGTGATCTTTTAAGGTGCTGCTGTAGAACAATCCTGTTTCTTTACTGAGGATAGCACAAAGGCATCATAACCTAGAAATAAAAATAATAAATACATAATAAAATGAGTTCCAAAATGGAAGTGTCCTCCTGGAAATTCATTTTCTTAGAAGGAATTTTTCATTGCAAAGAAATGTTTGCTGTATTTGGACAGAACTCAATGCATTAATATTTTTCCCGAATAAGAAATCTAGGGTTCAGAGTGGACCCCCTTTAGATTTTCTTCCATCTGCACAAAAAATAAAAATAAAAAATGCAATTGTGAAAAATGAGTGAATTATGGAGTGCCATTTTCCCAACTCTGGAAAACAAAATATGTCTTTTTATGCATTACATATCTTGGGTGCATGTTCAGTTTTATTTGTTTTATAAAAAATATGCATCAAACTGTAACGTGTGAATGATATGACCTTGTATTTAAAAATGCATACACAATGCATTATAATGCAACTTTCATGCAATGCTGTGATTAGCTGAGCTAAGGTGCTTTGTCAAGTGTCCAGTCAGTTGCAAACTCTGGTTTGCTCACCGTTCAAGTCACCTTCACGTGTGCTGCCACATGTGTATTGAGCATATCCTGTGCCCAGTGCCCTACCTTCCCCAGTGTTCCTGGATTGAGCTGGCTATACGTAAAGGAACAATTGGAAAGATGCAATGTTTGGAATGAAAAAAATGGAAGGAAGGATGGGCAAATGAAGAAATCCAAATGGTCAGCTAAGGGCAAAAGGCTTTGCAGAAGTTTATCAACACAAGAACAACTTTGAAAATCCATGTGCTGTACTGTTGAATTCCTAGGAAGCTGGAATGGCTGTGAAGCAGGTTTGTATTGGTGCTGACAGCCGTAGGTCAAAAGGAGCTGTTTAGTGTGTGGGTGAAAAGGTTAGACCCCACCTCTGTCTTGCACTCAGTCTTTTTGGCAGGTTACTCATCCTTTGTCACATCTCCCACGGTAGCCATTCTCTGATGGTGCCCAGGACGCTTTGCCACATTGTGAAATGTGCCCAAAGCCCACAAAGTTTGTCTATCCCATCATATTTCTTTTAAAGTAATGGAAATGTTTCCCCTGTTTTAAGGGAGAATTTTTTTAGACAATGAATCTTTCTGACCATTTTTGTTTTGTTTTCAAGTGGCATGCACTTGAATAAGTTTTGCTCTGACTTTCTTGCAGTATCTCGTGTGCAAAAGGAAGCTAGAAAGTAAGAAGGAAGCCCTGCTAATTCTTTCCAAGGAGTTGGATACATGTCAACAGGAAAGGGACCAGTACAAGCTAATGGCTAATCAGCTACGGGAAAAGCACCAATCGTTGAAAAAGAAGTATCGGGAACTCATTGTATGTAGCTGTTTGAACACTTTCTGCTAATGTAAAACTTGATGTAATGCCCGGAGCATTGTTAAACCTTTCCTCATAATCTTTTGAGATCAGAATTCATGATACTATTCTTGTCCATTTTTATTAAGTAGCAATTATACTGTCAGTAATTCTTAAGTTGTAAATAAGAAAATGTTCTGCACTGAACAAACTTACAGCCTAAATATCTGAACACATCGAAAGCTTATCAATTTATTGTAGTATTTTTTACTGTTGAATAATTTCTCGTGCTATACAGCTTTATAAGATACTGTTCATTCAGTAGGATGTCATCCATTTTGTGTGTCTTTTGTAGGGAAAAGCAGGATACAAATAAATAATGATAATATATTGATAGCAATATTTTAATGCTTTGTGCATTCAGAATTCTAACTGTGGAGGGCAGATGCGGACATAATGTCCAGCCCTGCCCTCTTCTACACTCTTGTGTAGACTGGGAAGGGTTGAGTAGAGGCTTTAACTACAGTCTGCAGAACATGATTGTAGTCCTTGGCACAGCTGGAAACCCTGAACATCGGTTCATATCTTCTGATTCATGAGAAGGTGGGACCAAAACATGTGGCTCCATGGACCCTCCATGTTTACAATGGCTACTAAACTATTTCTTAATTTATTTAAATTTATTTACATTTATAATTTAATGTGAACAAGAATATTATTATTTTTCCCAATGACATGTAAACTTTCCCTTCTTGTAGGATGGTGACCCCTCTCTTCCTCCTGAAAAAAGGAAACAGGTAGACAATATTTTTTTCAGTTTGCATGTGCATGTAACTTATTGTTCTGTATCATAATTCTTTTAAAAACACATTGTTAAAATGACTGGTTTTGATTGCAATATTCATTCATTCATTCCATAGATTCGAATCTTGCTTTTTAGAGCTATGACCTTGCAAAGTAGCTTGGAGGTACATTAAGGTTTGGGCAGAAGTACATATATACAAAAACAACACTATCATAGTTGAGGAAACTATTCTACCTATGTGTGTGTATATATATATGTGTGTGTCTACCCATCCATTCAGTATATTTTTGTATCACCCATTAGCTGAAGCTCTCTGGGTGGTTTACAAGCCACAGCTTAAATCCATAAAATCCAGTACACAGTTAAGCATAATAAAAACTCTTCAGTTTAAAAGTAGAATAAAACCAAAGTTGTAACCAAGATAAAAGCCAGCTGCAGTGAAAGATTCACACAAATTAATTGATAACCAATGTAACTGCTAGAAAAGAGGTATCATCAGATTTTTCTGGCTTCCATGGGCATTCCAGTGCCCACGTTGTGCACCAATTGGCATTTCCAAGCTACCTTCAGAGGCAGCCCAGATGAAGCATACAGTAGCATTCAGAGAGAGCTAGGTTAACTGTAATATCATTAGCTGAAGGTGGTGAAGCATCATTATTGGTCAGCTTGCATGAGATTGATTTGACTTCTGGGGAAATGGTTCCTGGGGAGCCACAATCTAAGAAAACCCCATGGATAGGTCTGTTTTCTTTTCCTCCATCCATTTTCTCTCAGTGTGCCTATCCCTGTGCCTTGGTGGGCACCTTTTCACTGCTGAAAGCCAGATTGTTCAATGGGTTGGAGGATACATGACCCAGAAGCATTCATTCACTCATGTGCACATTCACATTCATTCTCACCTCTTCTCCCTGTCTACCAAGAGCACTTTGTAATTATCCCCACCAGTCAGCTCAGTGGGAGGGATATGCAGAGTCTTAATGGCGAAGGCAGGGCATGGGACTTTCTTTCCTTGTTAACTTGTATTCCAAGACTCTGCCAGCCAGCTGTCAAAAGTCCAATTGTGCTGGAGAAGAAGGAGCATGAGGAAAGTTATCCCAGTGCACCCTCACTCCCAGCCTATTTATGGTCATAGGAGTGTGGAGGGGAGAATTCAAGGGGGTACTGGTGGAAAGACACACCTGCTGGAGGCTACATAGGAGGCTTCTGCGGGGGGTGGGGTGCATATGACCTGAGAATTGCCCATACTTTATGCAAACTGATTTAAGCATCTTCTAGCTGAGTTCATCCACAGAGGGGCGATTTGAAGAACAAACAGATTCAAGCAGAACTCTAGGCAGCTTACACAGACCAGAAACAGTTAAAAATACATTATACTTGGTAAAAACACTTACGTTTAGGCATAAGCACAGGCTGCAGACACAGTGACACACACATACAAATGTGAAACAGTCAACAATAAGGAAAGTCCAGATCTTACTCGGGCACTGAAAAGATGGCACAAGGCAGGCCTCATTGTGAGATTCATTACAAAATTGAGGAGGGGGGTGCCACCAAGAAGACCCTCTCTTTTGTTGCCATCTTCTGAACTCCACTTGGAAGAGTCACCAGGGTGGTCAATACCCACCTTGGACTTTGACTCCAAAGTCCAGTCCTAGCTGTGCCAATGCCTCTCCACATGATGTTTTTTCAGACACATCTCTGGTCATTTGGGGAGGAAGAGCCACTTCTGGGAGCTAGATGTGGCAGTACTCTGAGTTGTTTCTGCTTTTATATTATTAGGTCATAAGTAGAAACCTTTATGGTGTTCTTACAAAGACAGCATCTCTCACTCAAATAAGACTAAAGTCTTCAGCGTTGTCCCTGGAATTTCTTATTTCTCCAGGAAGTGGGGAACTTCCCTTTTTGAACTGCAGTCTTTAAACATTCTTAGGGGTGTTTGAAATGGGACACTTGAACAAGCTTCGCTTTATAAAACCTTGTGCTTTTCCAACTGTGCACCACCAATGCAGCTGTTGGGCTTATATAGTTCAGGGACCTTATTAAGTACAGTTTACTATTTCTTTGCGTAAATGCATTCTTTATAAAATCTGATGATTGCTAGTGATCTTGCTTTTTCTTCAGATACACACAGTTTGATTATGTATTTTTTTGGAAATATTCTTGCCAGAGCCTCAAAAGCATTCCATTTGTATGGAAAGACTATGACAGGTAACTTTCATCATTTGAAAATTAATGGATGAAAGTTTGTTTCTACAACAAAAATGTAGCGCTAGCAGATATCATCAATTTGTGTGGTTGGTGTCGAGCGTGAGGGTCTCTTACTAAGCAAAGCAGGTTTTACTGGGTGCCACAATCATACAAAACCATTGAAGTAGAAATTGCAATAAAAATTGCTATCAATCACGCTTCTGAAGTGTACTTGATGTTTCATCAAATTTTCCTACCTGTTCTCCTTTATTCCAGTTGTCTAACTTGAGATGTGAGCTTAAACAGTGGAAAATAATTTAAGCGTCTAAGAGATCTGAAAATATTTGTCTTAAATAGTTTTCATTCTGTTGTCTCTCAACTTTGCCCCTCTTTGTTTCCCCTTTCACCCATAACCTAGTTTACAGGATAGGGCTGTGGGATGGGATGACAACTTCGGTGTGCCAGCTAAGATTTATGTGCAGAGGACTGAAGGGTGCATTATGTTTGGGTTACTATCCATCATGCTCACATAGTCTGAAGCAAAATAACTTTTGTGGCAGACTTTTAGAAACTGTGTTAAAGGAATTGAATCTTTGGGTGCTGCTTGGTTTGGGAAAATGTTACTTGGGACACTGGTTACACTTCTCACTGGTTAAGATTCTACTCGGGTGGATCATGGGAAAAAGAATCCAATTGCCATATGGCAAGTGTACGTTGGTTTATATTAGTTTAGTTTGCACTCCCTCCACCCAAGAGACTTCTGATTATTATGCTTTCCAGAAGAAGCTGCTTTTGATGCCTGTTGAGGCCCTTGGTAAGAACTTGCAGAGCAAACCACAAATATCACACAGGTTGAGTTGGTTTCTACTAATGCAGTGTTCAGGTAGCCGAAATAAACTGCATGTCTTGCATACGGGCCATGAATCCTTTGCCTTTGTTGTTTATGTGTTTTCAGCTGCTTTTTCTGGATGGCATTTTTTGTTCCTGAATTGAGAGGAAAGTTTTCTGGATGTGTCCACATGGATGGCTGTAGGTAACATCAGGAAAAGTGTACATGAAAATACTGTAGTGTTCTCAGGGGTGGACTGTGGACAGAGGTTTGCAGAGAGCCAGGAGCCACAACTTAGGGGGACTAAAGGGGAAGTCAGATCTAGGAGAGAAGGAATTTAGGACCAAGTCAGATGTCAAGACCAAAGCAATACCAAGAGTATAGGAAGTTGCCAAATCTCAATAAGAGCTTGATGCTCAAGTAGGGCTCAAATGGAACAGCAAGTCCCCTTCTTCCAATGTAAGAAGATCCAGTGGTTAACCTGGATTCAGACCAGAGTCTGAAGCTACTTCACTGAGAAGACAGCATTAGTTCAGTGGTTCAGCACATGGAGGACGGGGCTGCTTAGTTCTCAGTAATTCTTAACAAAAGGAGAAGAAAGCTCATATAACAGTATCCAGAATCCAACAACCTACACATATCTCAGGTGCCCCCTAGCAGATTAGCAGATTCTGTTTCATACCACAAACTCTTCTTTAAAAATCCTCCTAGGGAACAACCCACTGCCCCCATTATGTTGTCAGGGGCGGGCAAAGGTCTGTGCCTATACCCAGCTCAAAGGCTGGAGATGGCACTTTGGCCTTGAAACTGGGAATCAGAGGCCTAATCTTCTTCCCCTACTCTCTTACAGCTCACCTGGAAAGAACTGTGTCAGTTGCACTCCACTGTCAGGAAGGCAACCTTGGAGAAGGGGAGAAGGGGAGGAGCCTGGAGCAGCCAGGATACCTGCTACGTTGATGGTGCTCCAACCTCCAAACCACCTCAAAGCATTCCTGCTGGTTGGCTTAAAATAGCCATCTAGCAAAACTGCAGAGTGAGAGGAGCGGGGAGGAAAAGATTACCCCCACCATTTATTCCCCCTCTCAGAGCATGCTATAACCCTCTGAGCTCAGGGATTTGTGGGTATCCCAATTGGGTTTCACCCTTAGTTCCTAAAGGAGGATGTTTGCTAGTATTTTGGAGCAGTGCGACTTTCTGAAAAATAAATTGCGTGATTTTTCAAATGTTGAACTATATCTGTTGTTGATGGGACATTATGAACAGGGGCATTAATTACAAAAGATCAGCAAAATAAAATGGCTACAAACATGTGTATTGATGTATCAATAAAATAACAATAACAGTCATTTTGATTAAGTGTATTTCAGCTATATAGACTTCTGCATATATTTACTGGGAAGAAAAATCCCATGTCTTCAAGCATCAAGAAAGAGTTGTGCATATTTATTTATTGTATTTCTATACTGCCCAACAGCCAAAGCTCTTTGGGCAGTTCACAGTAATTAAAACCATAAAGTACAACACAGTAGAATATAAAAGTTCTGGACTACAATATAAAATAAGCACCAAAATAAAATCCAGAAGCAGGACAAATACTGAAAATGCAGTAAGAGATTTAAAGCAGCTGAAACTAAAGGATGAAAATACTTTGGTGTCTTCACTTGGCACCAAAAAGAGCACAGTGTGGGTGTCAGGTGAGTCTCTCTGGGAAGTTCATAGAATCATAGAATAGTAGAGTTGGAAGGAGCCAAGAAAGTCATCAAGTCCCTCCTTTTCCGGGGCAGGCTGGTTCCGATGCCCCACCTGAGAATCTTCACTAGGTAACTTTGAATCTGCCAAGCCATCTGCCCACCTTTGCACTTCTGCTTCCTCCTCCAAATCAGACAAATTTATCTGAGCAGACTAGATGAGAACTGGACCCCCTCCCTACAGTGGGTGGTGGGTTCTTTTCACACTGGCTGTGAGGTGCGGGGAGGCATTCTGAGCTTGGAGCTCCAGCTCTGACCTTATAAGTTGGGCTGAGCTCATGAGGTCACAGTTGGGACTCAAATGGCCACCTAGATGCTGGCTAGCTGCCATGGGATTGTGCTGCCTGTTACTACAAGAGGCAGCTTGTATAGTTTTGCTTCTGCTTGTGCAAGAGGCTTTGCAAACAGTAGAACGTTATGGACCCACTTGCAGTTTTTTCCCCACAGTACTTTAGGGAGCTTTCTTAAACTATATAAAGAAGGTGCTTATAATATGCCAGACTATTGGCCTTTTTAACCCAGTAGTGTCAGCATTCTCCAGGGCTTCAGGCAGGAATTCTTCCTGCCCTGCCTGGTTATGACAGGAAGTAAACCTAGATGTTCTGCTTGTAAAGCATGCACTCTTCCACTGAGCTTTGGCCCTTCCTTTGAAACAGTAGTATGAGGTGGAAAATTTCTTTTGTGTGTGGAATGACACCTTTGGATCCAACCCTTTGAATACAAACTGGATATGACTAATATTCCTGGGCATTGTTCGTTCATTCGGAAAATGCTCACAGGAGAACATCCCAGTACGTATTGCTGGTGCACTTGTACTTAATGATAAGGTGAACTTCACACATAATAAGTGAGTGATGAAATAAGCACTATATTTTTCAAGAACTTTGCATCTTAATTATAGATGTATGATATTTAACCATTGGTCTCAATCGCTCACAGTAAATAAAGTGTGGCAGGATTTTTCCCCTGTGGCATCTACTAGTATTTGTGTTGCCATCTGTCTTTGTTTATGTACAGTCTTCAAGCTTTATATGCACACATGGTTGATTTATTTTATTTTTGCAGTAATTTTAGTTATAGGAATGGTGCTTTTTGGCCTAATGAAGCATTTGGATACCATCACCACCAGTCAAACCAAATACAAATTCAGAAATGAATAAAGTGGGATGTTTTTCACATTTGTAACCTCATAATCTCATTTTTGAGACATTTTGGTGTGATAAATACTTGCCTTTTTTCTAGGCTAACCTTGCCCAGCTCCTGAGTGATTCTCGGGATCGAAATAAACACCTGGGAGAAGAAATCAAAGAACTTCAACAGAGACTGGGAGAAGTACAAGGAGACAATAAGGTATTCACAAATTAAATTCAGAAGAAAATCAATTAGAACTTTTGAAGAATTCAGATTGCCAAGATGCAACTAAGAAAGCCCGCAGTCTTCCAGATTGTGATCTATCTTTATTTAGGTACCCCAAAAGAAACCAGAATACCTGTGCAATGTTAGCTCTGTGCCTTCAAATGTTATTGTGCTGTGCCTGCATCGGGTCCCAAGTATCCAAAATTCATAAATTAGATTTCCCAAAGTGAAGAATTGTATCCACCAATAATATTAAAAATCTATTATGATGATACAGGACTAGGTTCTGATAGCAGGCTCCAATGTGTCTGTATACACTTCTCTTGGTATTTACCAGTCTTCCTGTCCCTCCTGAATTTTTTATATATATGTATGTGTGGAACATGGCATTCTGTAGACCAAAGTTCTGCCTGGCAGCATCACCTTTTCTGGGATTTACAATACCAGTTTTGCAGCTGGGAGCTCAACTCACCCCCTGCCCCGTTGTACTTAAGGTTCTTGGTTTGTAGGTACTTTTTTTTTTTTTTTTTAATCTCACAAATTTTCCTTCAAGGAAATGAATGTTTTATGTCTGGCTGCATCCACCATGGCAACCATTTCATGAAAAATCAAGTTTCCATGTCAGCCATTTTGTGAAAGCACCCATGAAACTCTCAAAAATTCAGTGTACCCAATAAGGGGCCTAGTATTTTTATATTCTTGGTTTCTGCTTCTTTAAGGCAGACAGTATTCAGATCTGGTTTGGACTGGGGTGATGAACAGTCTGAAAAAATGACTGGATCTTTTCCAGAGTTTAGTCAGTTGACTTAATTGGCAATTTCACTGTCCTGCATAGAAGTCTCTTGAAATTAGAGACATTTCTCTTTGATGAATGCAATTTTGCAGTTAGAGAATTCAGACATTACAGCTGCTATTTTTTGAATACCATTTGATCCTATTCCAAAGTATGAAGAGGAAAAATATTAAAACATAATTTGTTTGGAGAAATTTCTGATGAAACATCTGGGAAAGTGATAGCGGGCTCCTCAGTGATCACTCTTATACATTTCTGGTTTTCTCTTTCTTAAAGCAATTTGAGCTCCTCTCTTTTTCAAGCTAATCTAAGAATTCCAAGATTGGTGAGGTGTAGGTAAGGTAGATCGCTAGCTCTGGGTTTATGACATTTGGGAGATGAGTTGCAATACTGATTTCTTCTCAGGAGCAGATGAGCTAGTTCTCATGTTAGTTCTTTTGCCCATTGCTGAGACTAATTTCCATGTTTATTATTGAGGCTTCAAACAGTGACTTCCATGTCTCCCATAAGTGGCCTCATTTGATTTTAAATATGCCTGATGTATTGGCAATTGTTTTTATTGGTTTTTATCACCTATCATGATGATGTATGTATAATTTCATTGCTGCTTTTATATGTGAATGAACTATCAACACAGAGAGACCTTCCATGCCACCTTACTTTATTAAATTAGAGAGCTGTTGTAATATCATACCTCCAAATGAGAGCTGTGTATCAAGAAGCCCCTGGTGGAAATACCTCAGTGGTCACAAACATCTTGGGCATCATAAGCAAGTCATTATCATTTTTAAGCTTTAGGCATCATATCAATCCCACACCCTCAATATGAATATAGTCTATCTTCCTCAGCTCTCATAAGGACAACTGAGGTGAGTCTGAAAAATTATGAGTACACTGCTAATACTAGGAAACTGAAAGATGGGAGGTTCTGGAGAGATAAAAAGAAGTATTTCTTCAAACAGTACACAGTTAACTATGGCATTTTAGTGTCACAAAAAGATGCAACAATGGCTACCTTTTTGTTCCACCCCCCCATTTTTTTGACAGAAAAAAAACATGAATACAAAATTTCACAACAGTAATAATATAACCAGAACACAATCATTAAGAAAAGAATAAATTATAGAGTGCACCCACCACCCCAGAGACCAATGCTACCACCATTCACATACTATAACATTTAATAATATATAATATACTTCAATTATACCCATATCCCCTCCAGAAATTCATATAATCTTGATTGGGTTTACAGCCTTTGCCTTCTATCAGTACTGCTTTTACAATCCTTATTCTTAAAGGATTGGATTAATACATTACAAAAATAACCATATATATAAATGGCCACCAGTTTGGATGGCTTTAAAAGAGTATTGCACAAATTCATGGAGGAAAAGGCTACTGGTCATGATGGCTAAATGCTACTTCCAGTATCAGAGGCAGTATGCTCCTGGAGGCTAGTTGCTTAGGAATGCAATCAAGATGGTGCTGTCACAGGTGTGGCCTACTTGTGGGCTTCCTACAGGTGCTTGCTTGGTCACTGTGTGAACAGAATACTGAATAAGGCAGAAGCTTGACTTGTGCCAGAAGGGCTCTTTTAACATTCTTAAGGTGGCAAATGCCTCCTTCTGGACCCTTTCCTTGAAGACCTCCAACCTGGTCGTTTTAACCTCCTCTTGAGGTTTACATCAGAGCTTTCTCTATGTAATTATTTAAAAGCCAAATCTTAAGACACTTCATGTACTCATGTACTCCTGTTTTGCGTTAATCATTGCTGGCTTTCATAGTTTTAATTAGTGTTTTGTAATAAATCTGTCTCTAGAAATAGAGGCAGAGAGCTTTCTGCAGTGATTTAGTATTTTGTTTTCCTAGTAAATTAGGATTTTCAGTAAGTGCAAACATCATTTAAAAGGTCCATTGTATCAGAAATATTCCCATTTCACTATTTTAAAATGACAGATGGGAGGGTTCAAACATGTATGATTTTTAAAATTTTAAAATATTGCCTAATAACCACTTCATAAATTTATTCCTATATTTAGCAGTTTACATGGAACATTACTCTAGTATTTCGTATTAAACAAATGCCAGTCATCTTTTTTAACTAAACTCCAATGTATTTAATAATTGTGGCTGAGCCATGCATACTTTGCTTTGTAAGCTAATATCTGAGAAGGCCAATCAAATGTGCCAGGGTAAAGGGCTGATTTTCTTTTTAAAGAGTGGGTGGTATCATTCTGTATTGAAGGCAGTTTAATGTGTGTCCATTAGAAAACAGTACAGTCTGGCCTGCATAGGTTTCCCAGCTGACCTCATCACTGCCTTAATTTCCTAAACCCCTTCCTAAACTAGAAATATCAGCAACTGTTTTCCTGACTGACCCAGAATTCCTTAGCATAGACTTGGTAAAGTTCTCAGGTGCTGACTCCTTATGGGAGAAGCCAATAATAGGAGAAAGGAAGTTAGCTACTGAGATATGTAAGGAAAAAACTTTGTCAAAACACAGATTCCTGTGTTCATGCTGATGAAGAGCTTTTTAACAAGACCTCATGCCCCAAGTCACACAGCAGAGATTCCATGTTTCTGTTGCCCCTTCAATGCTTGTGGAGTTCAAAAATATTTCCAGCTAGAGATTAGTTGTTGTCCCAGGACATTTAATTGCAAATGTTCACTCCCATATGTAAAAAGTTAAAGCCACTGTAACAGCTCAGAAGTAATAGGAAACCATGATTCAATGGTTTGTTCTAACCAAATGTGGTTTGAACAAACCAGATTATTTAATTTTAAGACATAACACAAAAGTATGGTTTGTTTCAAAAAGCACAGGAAAACTTTTAGCACCATCTCCTTGTGCGTAAAGGAGAAGTGTGTGAGCCTAAGGCTTACCATGCTGCATTTTTACAACTGGGCACCAGTTTCCGATAATGTATGCACCAGAGTGGTATCCTGGCTTATGTCTTAAATTAATCATAGTTCTGCTAGAAGTTACATAAAATAAAAAGAAATGCATAGATTGCTTTCTGTTATGTGATATGTATTGGTCAGTATCCCAGGTATTCAAGGATGATGTGCATTTGAGTTTTTTCAGGGCCCTCTATCTAGAATAACTCTCAGGTAGAAACTCCCACTATGTGAGAGCCTAATATGCCTACACACAAACAGGCTGGCATTAATACTCAGGCTGTAATGCCATGAAGCCCCATTTGCATTCCCTCTTCCCTGGAGTAGGGTAACCTCAGGCTCAGGCTCGCTGTAGTTCAGAAGAAAACATTGTGAGTTCATCTTGTGTCTTGGTATACGTCTTTTTATTTATTTACATGTTTATAGTTGGGGAAAATGTTTGGGAAGCAGCTGTCAACACTGGCAATGCTAGCCCAAGGCAGAATCCAGGGAACATTTAGATATCAACACTCTCTGAAGACTTGAGTACTGCTAACTTGTACAGAACATTTTAACCTTTAGCTTTTGCCAACTAATTTTAATTCATCTCTTTGAGCCATTACTGAAGGAAAAGGATCAGATTTTATTATCAGTGCTGAAATCCAGTGTCAGTGGTGTGACATTAGGGGTGTAACTGTTGCATGTGTTTTATGGGTGAGAGGTTGGGAAATAGTCTGTCAACCAGTCAAAATAACAATAATGAGAGCTTGTGCTCCTGTGCTGGAGAGGGGAAGTGCATAGGCTTCCAAAGCTAAAGGAAAAGCAAAGAAAAATGTGAACAGGTAAAGAAAAAGGTTAACAAAATGACATGGCATTGTGGTGTGTGGAGGGTCAGTTTTTGCTATGCTGCTAACATTTTAATTTTATGCGGAACACTCTGTGTGTGAAATAAATGCAAACTTGGTTGATTTTCAGCTGAATAATCAACTACTTATGTGATTTCTTCTGTTTGCATATTACTTACAGAATTTGATTTTTCTGGATTGCAGAAAATTCTGGGTAATCCCTAACTGGCACTGTGTCAGTGGCAATCACATTGCACTAGCAGGAACAACCACTAGCACTTAACAGCACCACCCCGGAAATGAGCTCAAAGTAGCATTCCCAGATCAGGGCAAGTCAGCATAACTCCCTTCCTCCAGTAGCACTAACTCAACTCATTCTGGAAGTGCTAGTTTGTGGTTGCACTATGAAGTGCCAGTGTGGGAAGTATAAAGTCTGTATCTTTTAAAATATGAGTGAAGGATTGTTCTTTCTTAAG